GAATCATCACAAATAACCCTACAACCAATAGCGCACCGTCTTAGGAGGGAACACGGCCATTGGCATCAAACCCAATGAACCACAACGACCCCGAAGTGAGAACGATCCCATAGAGAGCGAGAAACCTGCTTGTAGGGCTAACACACTTGGGCTCTTCACATAACACAGCACTGGGAGCTACCGTGTACTGGAGGTTCCATCCAAAACCGGAAACAACACCAAATACGGGGGTTGGGTGTTGGGTTGGGTGTTACATCAAGTGTAAAAGGGGAAGGAAGAATATAAAAATCTCTTGGAGTTTTTACCAAGAGTCGAGAACAGCATTCGTATTGGGAGTAACACCTGTACTGGGAGTAACATCTGTATTGGGAGGAATATTAGTACTTAAGAGTAACAGGTAAGTACTTGGAGTAACTCTACATACGGAGTAAGAGCTAGGTAATTTTTCTTACGGTGGTTTACAGGGGCATCGCTTGCAATATACACTGCGTAGAGTAAAGGAATGAAAACGAGATACGAAAACATAAATGGGATCGAGGAAGAATCATGGTTCCACAACACAAATTTTGATTTTGTCTTCATGAAAAAACGGAAGGATAATCTTCCCTTTTTGTTTATTTGCGATTGTGTTTTTGGTATAAATTTATTGTTTCTTTTAACAGCGAGAATATCATATACATCGTTTGAAAGAGAATAATATATATATATATATTCTTCAACGGAAGCCGAGTTATCTAAATTACAATAAAACAAAGATAAAAGTTTACGAAGCTAAAATAACGTTTTGGGATGGAATTAGAAGCAAAGGCTTTGTCCACAAGCTTTCAAGGTACTTTAAGTTAACATTTTCACAATCATCTTTCCTGGAGACAAGGCTCATTGTCTCTACAGAAGTCCCTCAGCATTACCGCCTCCGCCGCGGCGTAATAGGGAATGGAAATGTATTAGCAGTCGTAACACAATAAACTCGATCCATTACAAGGGAAGGATTAGAAGGCTTCGAGCGGCAGGAGCCTCGGCGCTTCCGCGGCTCCTGGTCCGACTGGAGACTAAAGGGAACCAATCTCGCTAAGGTTTAAAGTCTAGAGCCGATTCGCAGACTAGAATAATTACATACACTTTTTTTCTCGACGTGTTATGCTCACCATGTAAATCGTTTACTGATTAAATCGTCCCGGTGGCGATAAATTGCAAATTACCCCTTTGAGGTGACCAGAAACGGGCTCGGATAATACGGCGCATTATTTGCCTGGTCTCCTAAAGGCGAACCACGGGTACCTAGCGCAGCCCGAGTTCTGCCGAGGACCCAGGGACGAAGAAGGGGCGCTGGGACGAGGAAGGGGCGCTGGGACGAATAACAAAAATGAAAGTTATAAAAGAGGCTTCTAGTCTACTCGTCGACGACACACCTCGTGCCTCTAGACATTTTTAATGGTTCAGAAAATACCTAAAAACGAAAAAAATAGGTAAAACAACGATGTAAAGGATAAAAGGGTAAGTACAAGATTGGTGAGGAATTACAACATGATCGAGCGAAAAAAAACAGACCTACAAGGTTCACTCCTGCAGCGTTCCTAGTGCTAAGGGTGTACAACAACGGTCTACGTTTGCAGGGCCTGGACAAAGTGCCTAAGGAATTCACGAGAAGAGATCTGGGACAACCAGAGAAAGGGTCAGAGAGACGGATCTGGGTTGACCTAACCACTCACAGGGGCGGGACTGAGGGCCATCGGTGTCAACAAAGGTTTCCCCTCGAGAGGTCAATCCGAGGTTTCACATATCTCTCACACAATGGATAAAAAGAGAAACATCACAGCTCAGTCGTCTGCACGTGAGCCTGAGGAGCTACGAGGACATCCTGACTCTTTTCTGAGAACAAAATAAAAAGTTCGACGAGGATAGATACACAGTCATGACCTGAGCCGCTGCCCCTGCTGATCCCAGTACCGCAGCAGGAGCAGAGGGATGCAAAGAGATGGGTAAAGACGGCTACACTTCGAACGGGTAATCCTTGAACAGGTGACTTCCTGTGGGTGGAAGAACTGCCTCAAACAACACTGCATTCATTAATGGTGGCCATGCAACACTAAGTCTATCATCATCATCATTATCATCATCACCATCATCTTCAATATCGTCATCATGCACACATGCACATTAGGACAAGCTTGGAACATGCTCAGCGCCCTAAAAAAAGGTGAAAAAGCACGAACAAACGGTTTTTTTTTCTGGGAGAAGCGCTCCAGACTGCCGGATCTTTACAGACCAATCCTCCTCCAAACTCTTTCAAAGCACAAAACAAAAACAATATGGCCACACAACAGGAGTACGTACAGCACAGATGTGTATAGTGTGTGAAGTCATACTAAGGCCAAAACAAAACAAAAACAAAAAAAAATGTTGCTGCTGGTTAATTATATACAACTGCCCTTCACCCCTCAGTTTCCCCTACCCATTAGCAATCATAATCTCCCAACAACAAAATGAATGCTTTGTTGCGCACACTCTGGTGACTCTAAACTTAATTCTGGCTTAGCTACCCCGGGGGATTTCCTTAGTCCAGCGAACCGCGTGGCTTTCGGGAGATCGCTGCAATGAGCTTTAAAGGCATCTCACTCAGCTGCTGGCTTACTTGGGGGGAGTTCTGAGCCAGAGTCTTATGGTCTATGAGGTCTCTCGCTCTCACTCTCGCTCTCGTTTGATCTCTCTTTCTTTCTTTCTTCTTTTTATCTTTCTCTCTCTCTCTCTCGCAATCTTTCACACACACACAACACACACACACACACACACAACACACACACACACACACACACACACACACACACACACACACACACACACACACACACACACTCTCTCTCTCTCTCTCTCTTCTCTCTCTTCTCTCTCTCTCTCTCTCTCTCTCTCTCTCTCTCTCTCTCTCTCTCTCTCTCCTCTCTTCTCTAACATTCAACTCACTCTCGCGCTTCATTATTTCACCGCTGATACTAAATCGAAGATACACATACACACAGGCACACATTCAACCTTTCAAACTTTCTATTAATTCATATTCCCCAATCTCTCTGTCACGCTCGGTCTCAGTATTTGTCTCACATTCATTATCACTTATTCATTCCTATCTTTTCTCTCTCTCTCTCTCTCTCTCTCTCTCTCTCTCTCTCTCTCTCTCTCTCTCTCTCTCTCACTCTCTCTCTCACTCTCTCTCTCTCTCTCTCATCTCACTCTCTCACTGTCTCACTCTCACTGTCTCACTCTCACTCTCACTCTCACTGTCTCACTCTCACTGTCTCACTCTCACTGTCTCACTCTCACTCTCACTCTCACTGTCTCACTCTCACTCTCACTGTCTCACTCTCACTGTCTCACTCTCTCTCTCACTCTTTCTCACCTCTTTCTCACTCTCTTTCTCACTCTCGCTCCCTCACTCCATATCCTTCCTCACGCATTTGCCAAACAAAATCGCACACAATGTAAGTACAAAAAATACTGGGTGGGGGCGGGGGAGGGGAGGGGGCGAGGGGAGGGGGGCGACGTTCCCCACCTGCCGGCATAAAAGTGACCCAACGGCCTGCATTCATAAGGTGTGGGACGAAAAAAACAGGTGCAAAAGTTTTAAAGATGCAAAAGTTTAAAGTCAAGCATAGTGGACGGACAGACAGACAGACAGACAGACAGTCAGACGGTGGAACTGAGTTGGCAGAATTAGTTCAGGGAGAAAAGTCGTACAGATGCACAGGTGGCGAAAAAAAGGGCAGTGGAGTGAATAAATGTGATAATAAAAAAATGGAGATATTTAGGCTTGTCAAACATCCTGTTCCTGGTGTAGTTTTTTTGAGCATTTGCTAGTGAGTCTAACATTTAAGCATATTGTCCTAGATCTTTTTTTTTTACCTTAAAGTGCAGAGACAAAACTATGTATGTATATAAATATAAATATATGTAAATGAATAATCAAACTTTTCACATGATGCAATATGCCACACTACTTGCAATATTCAACATGATCTTCACTAACATGTTCTACCACAGTCTAGCATCGTATCTACATTAATTACTCTGCAATCCATTCAAATCATCTACTTTACCTAACAACACTGCACAATATTCTTCTCCATTTAATAAATAAGAAGAACACTGTGTTCCTGTATGGTCTGGCTGGAGCACCATTAAAACCTTCCATTTTTTTATGTTTTGCAACACAAAGGCGCCTCTTTGACTGAATTAACTGCTATGTACATTAATGACTTAATCAAGACTCCCTTATACACCCTCTGAAAAATTGCCATATCCATTAATGCCTTTATTAAGAAACCTTTACACACGATCTGAAAAATGCTCCATCTAAGGATGCTCCGGCCAGACACAGGATTAAAGAAAGGACTTCAGAACACTCCAGGTTCCTTCAGACCGGAGTGTCTCTATGGCAACATCCTACACCTGGTTACGACTGACTGTTCAATTGTCTTATTAGAATTTGACTCTGTGGGCTTGAACATAGTGTAAACTGGACAAATTGAGCATACTGTAAACTGGACCCAGCTCAGTTCAAAAAGTTGATGACAAATCTGACCTACACTTTGGAAGTCCGTGAAAAAAAGAAAATGTTGAAATATTGGAATGTATTATATAAAAAGTCAAAGCATCTAATTACAGATGATCAAAATACTGCAATATCCAAAATAAATCCAAAGCTTCAAATTAAGTTTTAAAAAAATCATGGCAGTATTCAAAAGCTATGCTAAACGCGCATAACAAGATATCAGTGAAAGAGAAGTGAAAAAAAAGGGTCAGACGTGAATCGCCAAGAAAAAAAAAATGACTGAATGAAGACTGATAAAAAAGGGGAGATATACAAAGCCCCTGATGGCTAAAGGAGGCAAGAGCACAGCGTGGGGCCTTCCCCTGATCTCCTTCCTTGAGGCTAAAGTGTGAAGGCAGTGGTGGACCAGGTGAGGAGTGCAAGGAAGAAGCACCAGAGAGGTCGAGAGGTTACTCACAATCTTGGGCTTGAAGGGCGGCTGCACCTCTCGGTTCTCCAGCTTCACCCAGTCGATTCTCCTGAAGAAGGGGTGTGTTCGAACATCTTCCTCTCCCTTAGGACCGCAGCCTAGTCGCTTCTGAGGCTGCTTCGTCAGGAACTGTGTAATTTAGGGGGGCAAGCGTGTAAGATGGGTTTGAGGCAATGGAAAGGACGGACAAATTGTCTTTTTTTTTGTCTTAAAGTAAATTTTTTGTGTAAAAATATTCCTCCACATGATCACATCCCTCCGATTTCCATTCCTTAATATTGGACAAAATTTCTTTTTCTTTTTTGTCTTAAAATCATTTTTTGTGTAAAAGTATTCCTCCACATGATCACATCCTTACGATTTCCATTCATTAAGTGAAAAGACTACATTAAAGAAGCAAAAAGGTGTAAATATATACCAACCAACACTCCCAAGGACCTTACCACCCAACCCTCAATTCATTCCTGCGCGACCTCGTTTGTACTTACACCCTTGCAACATTCCTTCGCCTCCTTAGAAAGAGCCTTGGGATAAGAGACATTATGGTCGGTAATCGCGGCAAAAAGCTCTTCCTCGTCCTCTCCATCGAAGGGCGGCTGACCCACCAGCATCTCGTACAACAGCACTCCGTAGGCCCACCAGTCTACACTCTTCCCGTATGGTTGGTACAGAATGATCTGAAAACATATGCGGGGTTTCAGTTACTTTTCTCTCCCGGTACAACAGCCTATCACGAAAGATTAAACATAATCCACCCTACAGATGCTAAAAAAATAATAATAAACCACAAACAAACACGGAAATCTTCCATCAATATAAAAACACATACTCTCAACAACACAACTCCCTCAGAAATCCACAGCGCCCCCCCTGAAACTCCGAAACAAAACCCACCTCGGGAGCAATGTAGTCTGGAGTTCCACAGAAGGTCTTGGTCGTCTTATCTCCACCGATGCCCTCTTTGCACATACCGAAGTCGGCGATCTTGATGTGTCCATCCTGATCCAGCAAGACATTGTCAAGCTTGAGGTCGCGGTAAACGATGCTGCGGGAGTGTAGATAGAACAAGCCAATGGCAATCTCCGCTGCATAGAATCTGTGGGAGGAACAAGAGAGGCCATAACAAAAGGGGGCATTTGCGGCGCACTCGCTGGAGGGAAAAAGGTGTAAAAAGATCGATAGCAAATTATACAATTGCTCATATATGTTCGGGTGTAAAAAGACAGCGAATTCTATCATTGCTTATATATGTTCGGGTGTAAAAAGACTGCCAACGAATTATATAATTGCTCATATATGCTATTAATACTCAAAATGAAGGTGTAAATATCAATATCGAATTATATCCAACACTCAAACAAGGACGACATGCTCAGAGAGGGATAATACAAAATATACAAAAAAATAGACGACTGAGAGGTTTACATACACCGCTACTGGTTCCTTAAACTTGCCACACTGCTGGATCTGGAACATCAGGTCACCTCCATTCACGTATTCCATTACAAAGTATAACCGGTCCTGGAATAGGCAGGGTGCAGTCGGTCAGCAATAAACTTTATCATACTGTATACACCTTATTGGGTGTCGTTGGACTTTATAATACTGTATACACCTTATTGTTCTAAGATTCCTTAATCGATATTCTCTGTACATTGAAGAGACGCATGTCATCACCATCAAGTAACATGACTCATACTATCCAATCGACCTAATCAACACTAATACTTTTACCATATGATCAGTCTTCCAAAATACACTTCATCATCCAATTCTAATTTTTTTCGGCTATGCTGAACAATCTAGAAATAGGATCCCCTTATAAAACCGACAAGATGACGCTAAAACACACAGGAAAGATCCATAAGAGGGGGAGTGGGAGGAGGGGGAAGGAGGGGAGGAGGGGGGGGAGGGGGAGGGAGGGAGAGGTAGAGGGGGAGGAGGAGGAGGAGGAGAAGGGGAAGAAAAAAGGAGAAGGTGGAAGAAGAGCATAAAGACGAAACAAAAAAAGGAGAAACGAGAAAACCCACCAATACCCCCCTACCACCCACCCTCCCCTCAGCAAAGGAAAAAAAAACAAAAAAGCAAAACCCCCTTAAAAGCAAGCCTCCGGACTCACCATGGTCTGGAAGCAGGAGTGGAGCTGGACGAGGAACGGCGGCTTGCTAGCGAGTGCGAGGACCCTCTTCTCGATCATGGTGCACTCCACGTCGTCGTCCTGGATGATGATGTCCTTCTTCAGGATCTTGATGGCGTAGAGCTCGTCGGTGCCCTGCGGAGACACCCATAGGCGTTATCTCAAAACTCGTGACGTGCGGTTAAGCGAAAGCGAAAGAGGAGGAATAAAATGGAGAGAGAAAATAAAAGAAAAGGGAATTAGGCAACAGGAACTCTGAAGTGAGGTCTCTTGAACGGGACCTTTTATCATGACGTACTGAGGAGTACGCGGGGGAAAAAAACTCGCCCCGCCTCTCGTGAGAACTTAAAAGGCAGTGACGAGGAAAATATGAAAAAAGGGGCAGAAAAAAAAAAATAACACACTCCCTTCATCCACCTAAAAAAAAAAAAAAAAAACAAACTCGAAGACAAAAAAAATTCATGCATCTATCCCAGTCCACAAAAATACAGACAGCATAGCGGCGGACTCCCTAACCAGTCCATTACCACACACCGGAGGCAATACCCAGACCTACTATACATACCGACGGTGGATGTGGAAGCCGCCTAAAAAAAACAAAAAAAACGAAAAAAAAACAAAATCAGTAGCGCTAAAAAAAATGTTGCCAAGTCGACTAATTTACTCTCCCAAATGGACGGAATTTCTCTTCCGTCGGCACTTTTTTTCCGTTTATTTTTTACTTGAATGATATTTTGTAGCCAGTCCATATGAAAGGAAAAAATCACACGTGTCAAAAACTTTAGATGGCAGTGCAAGAGTGAGAGAGAGAGAGAGAGAGAGAGAGAGAGAGAGAGAGAGAGAGAGAGAGAGAGAGAGAGAGAGAGAGAGAGAGAGAGAGAGAGAGAGAGAGAGAGAGAGCAGAGAGAGGGGCGAGAGAGAGAGGGGGGTAGAGAGAGAGAGAGGGAGGGGGGGGAGAGAGGGGGAGAGAGAGAGAGAGAGAGAGAGAGAGAGAGAGAGAGAGAGAGAGAGAAGAGAGAGAGAGAGAGAGAGAGAGAGAGAGAGAGAGAGAGAGAGAGAGAGAGAGAGAGAGAGAGAGAGAGAGAGAGAGAGAGAGAGAGAGAGAGAGAGAGAGAGAGAGAGAGAGAGAGAAGAGAGAGAGAGAGAGAGAAGAGAGAAGAGAGAAGAGAGAAGAGAGAGAGAGAGAGAGAAGAGAGAGAGAGAGAAGAGGAAGAGAGGGAGAGAAAAGAAAGGGAGAGAAAACGCTGATAGACAAAGAGACAGAGACAGACAATCAGAAAGAGAAACAAACAGAAAACGAACAAACAGAAGAATCAAAAAAAAGAAGAAGAAAACGGACGCCAAGTAAAAAAATGGAGGGTAAACTGCGACATTTGTATGCCGGGCCTTTTTCTTCAGCGCGTCTACGGTCGAATGTCGAGGCGTAATCTAATATTCAAGCGGCGTGGAAGTAATTACCGTCTGGTTGGCGCCCAATTCAAGGGATTTCTAAAACAGCGACATCTAGCGAGGGAAACGCGAAATAGCTTATTTTCTTTGAAAGGCCAACGTTTCTTTGCGGTCAAAAGAAATGGCCAATTTCAGCCGAATGAATAAAATATGGCAACACCCGTAATACCTTCGTTCTCTCTCATTTTAAATCTTTTTATATCTTTTCTTTTTGGATAACTGGATATGTTTTTCTGTAATTATATGTATATATATATATATATATATATATATATATATATAATATATATATATATATTATATATATATATATATATATAATCAACAGGTGGGTTGTTCCTGTCATTGAGTTATGATGAGAAAGAAACGGAAAAGATAAAATAAGAAAGGAAAAGAAAGGAAAGGAAGGAAGGAGAAAATGGTATGATGTATCAGAAATACCAGGAATATACCATGTGTATAGTGACGAATGCAAGCACGCAGACACGCACGCACGGACGCAGACGCACACCATACACACACACACACATCTACTTATATAATGTAACCTCACAGACATCTTTCCAACAAAACAAACAATCACGAAATAAATAAATAAAATATAATATATATATAGTATATATATATATATATATATATATATATATATATATATATATATATATATACGTGACGAAGGTGTATATCCTAATTTCTAGACGAAACTCTTCCCTAGATTTTAACCCCTCATTCACAAACAAAGAAAAATACAAAGAAAACATCGAAAAAATCCAGAATAATTTCGTCAATCGCCCTCCCTACCCCCCACCCGCACGCACTACCCGCACGCAACACACAGACACAGACATAGACACAAACACACTCACACACACACACACACACACACACACACACATATCACACACACACACACATACACCACACCACTCTCTCTCTCACTCTCTCACTCTCTCTCTCTCTCTCTCTCTCGGCTCTCTCTCTCTCTCTCTCTCCTCTCTCTCTCTCTCTCTCTCACACACACACACACACACACACACACACACACACACACACACACAACACACATTCACGCACCACACACACTCGCTCACTCACTCTCTCTCTTTTCTCTTTCTCTTTCTCTGTCTGGTCTGTCCTGTCTGTCCTGTCTGTCTGTCTGTCTGTCTGTCTGTCTGTCCTGTCTGTCTGTCTGTCTCTCTCTCTCTCTCCTCTCTCTCTCTCTCTCTCTCTCTCTCTCTCTCTCACACACACACACACACACACACACACACACACACACACACACACACACACACTCACACACACACGACACACACACATCTCTCTCTCTCTCTCTCTTCTCTCTCTCTCTCTCTCTCTCTCTCTCCTCTCTCCTTCTCTCTCTCTCTCTCTCTCTCTTCTCTCCTCTCTCACAGACTCACACACACACACACACACTCAATCACACACACACACACACACACTCTCTCTCCTCTCTCTCTCTCTCTCTCTCTCTCTCTCTCTCTCTCTCTCTCTCTCTCTCTCTCTCTCTCTCTCTCTCTCTCTCTCTCTCTCTCTCTCTCTCTCAGACTCACACACATTCGACACACCCGTTCATCACAGGCATTTTACCCCTGAACTTTCACTCACTGAAAAAGAAATCTGAAGTCATTTGCCTAATGACCGTCATTGCCTCGTCCTCTCTCTCTCTCTTTCTCTTTCTGTCTGTTTCTCTTTGTCTCTCGTTCGCCTTCTTTCTTTCTCTTTCGTTCGTTCTACTTCTTTCACTTTCGCATACTCTGTCTGTCTGTCTGTCTGTCCCTATCTCTTTCTTTCTCTCTCTCTCTCTCTCTCTCTCTCTCTTCTCTCTCTCTCTCTCTCTCTCTCTCTCTCTCTCTCTCTCTCTCTCTCTCTCTCTCTCTCTCTCTCTCTCTCTCTCTCTCTTTTGAGAACGTTTATCCTTGCAAGAGCCACAGCGTGTTCTACAGGAGTTCAATACACTCCGGATAGAACAGACAAAAGCAGTGACAGAATAGGTTGTTTTAAAAGACATGGAGGAAAGGGAACGATGAAGATGAGGTAAAGGGGGAGGAAAGAAAGGTAGGGAAGGCATGGAGGAAAGGGAGGAGGGAGGGAATGAAGGTGGAAAGGAGGGAGGAGGGGAGGGAAAGGGAGGGAGGAGGGAGGGAAGAAGGGAGAACAGAATAGAGAGAAGAAGAGAATGAAGCAGAATAGAGTAAAGGGGAGGAGGAAGGGAAGACAGAAGAGAGAAAAATGGGAGGAAGAGAGTAAAGAATAGAAGAGACTGAAGCAGAATAGAGTAAAGAGGAGGAAGAAGAGAAGACAAAACAGAAGAAAATGGAAGAAAAGAGAAGAGAGAAACAAGTCAACAAAGCAGAATAGAGTAAAGTGGAGGAGAGGGGAGAATTAAGGGAAGAGAGAAGAGAGAAAAATGGAAAGAAGAAGGAAACAAAGCAGAATAGAGTAAAAAGGAGGAGAGGGGAGAATGAAGGAAAGAGAGAAGAGAGAAAAAAGGGAAAGAAGAAGGAAACAAAGCAGAACAGGTAGAAAGGAGGAGAGGGAGAATGAACGAAGAAGAGAAGGAGAAAAAAAAGGGAAAGAAGAAGGAAACAAAGCAGAACAGAGTAAAGGGGAGGAGAGGGGAGGAGTAGACCGCAGCGGCTGTGTTATTGGCAATGTCCGAGCCATTAAGAGGTGGGGTGGGGGGGGGTGGGCTGGGGTGGGGTGGGGGGGGGACTGGCCAAGGGAAGGGAAGCGGCGGACTCTCCTCATTTGCCTCAAGACCCAGGGCGAAGGGGGGGGGGGTAAATGATGATGATGATTTGGAGATGGTGATGACGAGGAGGAATAATATGATGGTGATGATTTGGAGATGATGACGAGGATGAGATAATCGTGATGGTGATGACGAGGACATTCTCATCATCACTATGAGGAGATAATAGTAATGATGATGTGGAGATGATGTCGAGGAGGAGATAATAGTGATGATTATGACGAGGAGACAACAGTGACGATGATGATGACGAAAAGTAATAAAACTGACGCTAAATAGCTAACAAAAAATATAATAATAATCTCATTTACGAAATTACTAATGATGCAAATCAATAAAGAAAAAAAAAATATATAAGCAAAAAAAAAATGGTTCTAACAATATTAATGACAGCACAGCAATAACCTAAAAAAAATAACAACAACAATAATAAGACAAAATATAACCATCAATAAACATTTGAAGACATGAATGCATTGATATTATAAGCTAAAAGGAAAAATAACGAAAAAAAAAAAAGATCAACGCAAACACACAATAAAAAATAAAAAAAAAAATCCAGCAATATGGCAATGATTAAAAAAAAAATAAAAAAATAGGAATCATCATAATCGCTATCATAACATACGTATTTTTTTTTTTTTATAATCATCATCAATCATCATCATCATCATCATCATTTAGACCTTCTCTTGTATGATAATTGTTATCGCTGTCATCATGAAAAGAGAAAGACAGAAAGGAGGAGAAATGAGGCAGAAGAGATAGCGAAGAAGATGAATCATAAGATGGATAAATGGATGAGGGAGGAAGAGATATGAGGAGGTGGTGGAGGAGGAAGGAGGAGGAGGAGGAAGAAGGAGGAGGAGGGGAGGAGGAGGAGGAGGAGGAGAAGAGGTAGGAGGAAGAC